AAGTTAGTGTATCTGAGGTTAGATTTGGGGGGTGCCGTAATGCTTTTGTGGATAACTAGTGAGAGGTGTGTAGCTCTTTGTTTAATTTTATTTAATAAGACACCCTCCTGTTGTGGTTTCATCCTCCTCCTTCAATAGTAGCTGTTTTCTCTCAACTAAAATAGGTTAATATAATTAGAACGAACAGCACATGAAGAAAAAACGAACCACGGATACAGAAAGTCAAACTCTAAATTTGAATCTCTTTCCTGACTCTTACTATTCAAAATACTAAGGCATCTGATTCTACTTACCAATCTCCCTGGAAAGCTTAATATGGAAATCGCTTAATAGTTACTGTAATCTCACTGCCTTATCCCTTTCTAAACATTAAGTGATACCAAGGGGACACACTTGAGAGCTGTATTGTGTTGCTCATTTAGACACTCAGCTCTCATGTCTTAATATGGAAATCGCTTAATAGTTACTGTAATCTCACTGCCTTATCCCTTTCTAAACATTGATACCAAGGGGACACACTTGAGAGCTGTATTGTGTTGCTCATTTAGACACTCAGCTCTCATGAGAATTTTCTAGAGGACAATGGTAGCAGGATTGAGGAGAAAATTTTAAAGCCATAAAGCTACTGTTAATTATGTTCATCTTTAATTCCAGTCGGTAGCCTGCAAATTATAATACTGATTATGTCTTCTGGAGGAAATCCTAGATATAAAGCAAACAACGTTTTTAATTCTCTCATGTTTCTAATTTTTCTTTTAACATGTCCCTCAGAGACTTACAGGTCAGGAGAGAGAGGGGAACCGTCTTGCCAAAGCCAAGGTCTGCTGAGGTCGTCCTGAGACAGCCCCACCCAGTACTCATAGCCCCTCTTGATCTTCCTCAAGTCTCCAGTGATGAAATCCTATAAGAAGCAAGGCCTGAACTGTGAACTGAGAAAAACAAACAAACCACAAACAAAAGTGCTATGAAATGGAAAGTGTGACATTTTGTCTAGCCAGAAATGAAAGAGAACTTGAGAGCTAGAGAAAGACAGGGTTGTTTTTAAAAAGTAGGGATACGTTTTGTAGACTCTTTTCTACTGCTATAGGATCAATGTGGTATTAAGGACTATGGGAAAAATAGTCATCTGGTATTAAGTTAGTTTTGAAAGGCTCAGGGTCTGGCAGATAGCATATGTTAAAAAAAAAAGGCGAGTGTGTTATACTGAACTTTCATTATCAGAAGTAAAAATATCCTTCACATTATACACCACATAGATCTCTCTTTCCCAGGATATTTCAATATGGGAAATAGTTTAGGAGATTCCTTAATTTAATTTTAAGCATATTTTGATAGAAGAAATGTTTCTAACTTTTATTATCAAATTTGCACAGAAAAAACATTTTGTATACCCATAATTGTTAGGCTAGTTTAAATCATTTTGGTTAATGCATATCCTTAACAAAATTGTTTTCCCATTATTTTGGTAGAAATGGACTTCAACTAATTACTGAATATAGCAGGGATACATTTTTAATAAGGTCAGAAATGTATAATTATGCACTGTATTTTACACACAAACTTGGGTAAAATTATTTCAGGAAAACATTTTATTGTTCACATGTTAAAATGTTTGTAATCTGGGTTTAGTGTCATTATCATTTCATTTAGCCAATATTTGTTTTTATAGACCTATCTGTTTCATGACATCCCCTCAGTTTTTATAATTCTGTTTTCCTTGTAAGCACAATATTGTTATAGGTTATTACATTTCTCTACATCATTAAATATAACACATTTAAAACATATATACAATTATACAATTATAATGTATGTATATCTTGGAGTGGATTAGCATATCACAAAACGTCATTCCTCTTATCCCTCCCCTTTTTTATTAACAAAGGACATAGAACTAACATATTCTCCTTAATTTCTGGATAACCATTCTGTGTTTTTTTCCCCCTCCCATTAAAAGGGAAACAAACAATACCAATTCCTACTTTGTCTGTTTTAAATCTTAATCTTAACAAGATTACTGTTATAGAATTTTAAGGAATTCTATCTTAAGAGAATCTGTGCTTTTTTAAAACAAGTAACATGGTACTTTCAGAATGATGTGAAACCATAGAAGTGTTTACCATTTCTTCTTTGCTGTCTATTTGTAGAAGATTGGAGCCCTCCTTTAAACAATCCTCTTCACTGGTGTGCCAAATTTTCCAATTTTCAAAGACATAATAACAACTTTTTCCATTCTGAATCCAGTTGTCTGGACAAGGACTGCAGTTATAAGCTTTGAATATAAACATATTACTTTATTATTGCCATTGTGAAATATCTGTAGAACCGGTCCCCCTAATAACCCCTTACAGGTCCCCTAGTGAAGCTGACGCTCTAACAGAAGGGTTCGTACGACACAGCACTTACCAAATCCAGCTTTTCTGAGGTTGAACACAGTAACATTTATATAATAATTTCTACCTGCAACAGGGTTTTAAGAATTAGTTTAAGATAAAATTAGTTTGGGGATAGCTTTACCCAAATCTTCCCTCTCCTATAAAATTGACCTATCCTAGTTTTATTAATCTTCCCTTTTTTTTTGAATTTACATCATTTATAGTCTTCACTGATTTGCTTATCATTTTATGTCTGTTAATCTTACGGCCCCAATTTAGCTGGAAGTGCACTCGATCATTAATTTAGACTGGTTGAGTAATAAGCCTTGTCTTGATGTTTAAATTCTGAGAGTGAAACAAGAAAATATTTCATATATAATGGAGAGGACAAATAACGCACCTGAAGGAGTGACTTGAAAACATGTAGGTGGGGAAAATTGAGGATGGATGTAAATGAACGGTATGCTTATTTTAGGACTCCAATATAACTAAAAAAGTAAGCCTTATTGTTTAATCAGTTTTATGGAAGCTGTCTTAAGAAAAAAATGTATTCACAAAAGAAAGATAATCAAAAGTATAAGAGGGGAACCAAAGAGCGATAATTTGACCAAGTAGTTCGGCAGAGTTTTATAGAAGGAAAGACACTGCAACTTCCAGAACTCTAGTGTCTAGAGAGAGGACCACTATATAGGGTGAAAACTAGTTCTTTAATAGTTACCATGGCCCAGATGTTGACTTCTTTACTCTTTTAAGTTTATTTATTTTTTTTTTTTTACATTCTATGATGTTGTTGCAGAGCAGCTGGGGGGAGGGAGAGAGGAGAAAGAGAAGGAGGGGTGGGATTGAGGCCTGTGGCCCCCCTCATTCCTACAGGGGAGACCAGGGAGCTTCCAGCAGTGGCTTGGTCATTGCTGGCCTGGGTATAGATGTCGGGGGCGGGAGGGGTGGCTGTCTTTCTAGGTGTTACAGGTGTTCTTTGGTGATGTGAGACCTTTACTAGTTAATATCAAACTTTGCCTCTGGTCTGTGGGTACTTTGTTTTTTCTTCCAGTTCTGTGTTGGATTGTTTGCTGTTCCTACCATTCAAACTCTGCTGGAACATTAGTTGTCCCTTGCTTACTTTTAAAATGCAGGCACTTCCTGTGGGGGCCAGTGCTTGAACTCTGTGGTTGAGCTGAATTGCTGCTTTGCTGCTGGTTCCCTAGGGAAGGCTTTTTGTGCAGCTCAGGTTTTAATGGTTGACTTTATAGGTACTTCCAGGTCTCAAGAAAGCTGGTGCTCCTGGGTTGTGTGGAAACTCTAGTCTGGACCTGAGTTTTTTCAGCAAACTGCACCCCCTGCAGTTCTATATTCCTGACCAGTCTCCAGTGAGTGGTCCTGTGCTGACTGGGGGGCAGCACAGGTGTCCTTGCTGTGCCCCAGTGTTCTCCTGGTTACCCATCTCTCTCTGTGCTCCAAACACTTCCCATGGGGCAGGCAGTGTGCAGGTCCCTTCCAAAGACTCACTGGCCTGAGTGGCTCCTTTTATCAGTTGTTGTGGCCCCTCACTATGTGGGCCCAGGAACCTTGATAATGGTCTTGCTGGCCTGGGGGCCACCAAGGCCCTCTTCTCCCCTGCCACCTCCAAGCCGCTTCATCTGAAGAGCACAGCTGTGACATTTGCCGGCTCCTGCTCCGTTCACTCAGCTGTTCCAGCCTGGAAGCGGCCTGGGCTTGAAACGGTGGGAGCAGTTTTTTCTTTCTCTCATGGTGGCTTCTCCCGCCGTCATGAACTCCGAAGGTCTCTTCTTCTCTTCCCTTGAGCTCTAGCAGACCCAGCATGGCTGTCATTACTTTTTAATAGTTGCAGACTGGTTGACTTGTGGTAGAGAGTGACGCTGGGGACCATCTATTATGCTATCTTGACCGAAAGCTTCCAAGGGGAAAGCAATATTACGTTCTTTAAGGCTCTTCAATATCCTTTGTTTGGAACCCATGCTAATCAATATTCTGAACATTGTTAAACTTATAGCTTAGCGGTGACAATGGTACTTGAGGGGATGGAGAGCATGTTGAATTTGTAATTATCCAAAATGGATATTGTTACCAGACTCAAGGTTGATGGTTCAGAGGTGAGCCTAACTCAAGCTTGCAATCGCCCATGATATATAAAAACATTGCTCAGCATACTGTGGTTCTTTAAATATTTACTTGATTTAGTTTCAGTCAGAAGGACCTATGGTAGATTTTTTACCTCTCATTGGCAATTATTTAAATTTATTCCCCACTATAGGGGAGTTAATTCTTTAAATTATATGTACAAGTATTATTAAGTGCTAATTAAGTAACCATAGAATACTTGACAAATAGAAATAGTCTGTTTTTGGTTTAAAATGCTTGCGAGGGACATAAAAGATAAAACTTGAGTAACTTTATAGAATTTTTAAAAGAACTGAATCCATCATTGTTGTAATAGTTTTTTGGTAAATATTCTCATTTTCAAAATAAATTTTCTGCTCAGTTATCAAAACTTGAATCTGAAGAGAATTGAAGTAAATCTAAATTTAAAAGAAAAATCTAAACTAAACACACTGAGAAATTTGGATGTAGAATTAATGACACACAAATTTGAGTGACTGGGTAAGACATATAAAGTTTTTTTGTTTTTTTTTTTTAAATCTGACCTACTAATTTCATACATTCCACTTTGGCATTTGACAGTACATTTTCTTCAGCTGCATTTTTTTGCAATCTCAGTGTTTTCCATATACAATTGGAGGCTATAAATAAGATTGAACTGAAGATTGATCAAAATTATGTCTCTCCAATTATAAATCCTGAATAACTGTTATGAAGAGAATAAAATGTGTCACTGTTTCTTTTGAGAAATTTGTGCACACATTTGGATCTACGCAATGAAAATTGATTTTATATCAATTACCTGAACTGAAAGAGCTTTGCATCAAGGTTTGGCAGTATTTCATCTGAAGGGCATGGTTTCTCTTCCACTGTATGAAGTTTAACAATTCTCTGTCCTGTTGGTTGAGTTTTTCTTGCTGCTTCGTTGCAACAGCAGACACCTGGAACACTTCAAATAATAACAATTATTTTCAATAAAATGCTGACATTTTATATCAAAGTAATCCTTCAACACAGACTTTAGTCGAAAGACTAAAAACTGCTGATTATGTTTGAGATTTGAATTTGCATTACTTTAGGTTTTTGTTTAAAATTTACATTGTTCAAAAATCAAAAGGTACAAAGGAAGCAGAGCAAATATTCTCTTTTCTACTCCTGTTTCTTTATTCATCTTATTTCACTCCCCAAAGCAGCCAAGTTTGTCAATTTCTTTTTTTTTTTTTTTTTTTATCTCAGAGCTAATTGAATTTTACAAACAGATGGTCATAAAATCCCCTCTCTCCTATTTACACACATGGTAATAATCAACATTGTTCTGGCACCTTTAAAAAATTTTTTTTTTATTTTAACTTCTCAATATACATTGTAGTCGATTTTCATGACTCTTTACCTTTTTATTTTATCATTTAAAATATATTTTGGACGCGTTTTCATATCAGTACATAAAAAGCTTTCTCATTCTTTTCATTATAACTGTGTAGAATTCCATAGTATGGATGTATCATATTTACTTTAGCAGTTCTCTATTGGCTTTTAGACTATTTGTAATCTTTTTGTGTTACAGAAAGAAATACAATATAAAGAACCTTAGTCATTCATAATTTTACATGTGTAAGTATATTTTAAAGATAAATTGTTAGGTCAACGTTTGTGTGCGTTTAAATTGTATTAGATATTTCCCAATATATGCTGTTGCAAATGGTATTTCAATTTCATTTTAATTTGTAGTTACCTTTTTATGTTTGAGGTTAAAACTCTTTTCAAATACATGTAAATAAGAGTGAGATTTTTCTATTTCCTTTTCTATGAAGTGTATGTTTCTCTCCTTTGTGATTTTTTTCCCAGTTGTGTTTCTAGTCTTTTCCTTATTGTTCTATTGTGCTGTGAGAATTAATTCCTGCAGGCCTGGAGTCAGCCAGTGTGACACTTATATGACACTGTGATTGCACTTGCATACTGAAGACATTAGAATTTGTATGATAGGAGCTACAGTTACGTTTTTCCAGTTTATCTTTGGACTTTGCTTGTGATAGTTTATCTCACATAGACCCAATATTTTTTTGAATCACTTTTAGTAAGAGTTTTATATGTGAGATTATACTTTTATAAGTATTTTTTTATATTTACATTTTTATGTAGCTGATGTTTATTTTGTTGTAAATTTTAAGGCATGACCTCAACATTTTTTTCCCGCAGATGGCTACACAGTAGCCATATCATCTCATATCATTTACTGAATAACTCCTCACCCCGTTTTAGTTGCCATCTTTAACTTCTTGATATGAATCTGTTTTAATTATATTATGTATATGTACTTATCCATTCATATATCAGCACTACATGGCCATCATTATTTTAGCTTTCTAATTTATGTCAAGATCTGGAATTTTTATGCCAATTTTTGTTTTTCTTTTCTTACTATTCTGGCTAGCTTATTAAGCCAGTTCTTTTTAAAAATCATATTATGAAGAATGAATCTATTCTTATTTTATTAAATATTTTTCTTAACATGAATATTGATTTTTTTTAATCCTGTTTGGTTTTGAAAGAATTTCTTGAACCTGTAATGTAATGTTTTTGATTAACTTTGCACAATTTTTAACCAAAAAGTCTTATGATATTACTTTTATCCAACTCTCCCTTCTACTTTTGGATCTGCTATTACACATATGCTAAGCTTTCTCCTGTATGTTCTGGTCTGTCATCCTCCTTTCTATATTTTTCTCTTTTCGCAACTCCTTTCTTCGTCCTGTATATTACTTCTGCTTTATCTTGTGGCTCATTAACTTACTCTTAAGCTGAGTGGATATATTAAATTGTTTTCTGGGGAAGGGTAGAGCAGGTCACAGCTGTTGCAATTTACTAAAGTGTTACTGAGGTGTAATTGACATACAGCAGCATATATTTAAATGGTACAATTTGATACATTTTCATGTTGAAGTTCATACAGTAAACCATCTCCACAATCTAGATAATTAGTATATCCATCACACACAAGCTTCCTGTTCTTATTTTTTAACTAAAATTTTATTTTGAGTTAATTATTGATTCACATGCAGCTGTTGAAATAATAGAGAAATCCCATGTGTCCTTTAGCCGGTTTCCCCCAATAATAAAATATTACAAATTATAAATCAGTGCCACAACCAGGATATTGGCATTGACATGATCAAGATATGCAGCTGCTCCATCACTCTGAGGATCTGTCATATTGCCCTTCGATAAACATATCCACTCCCCTCCTGCTCTGGCCCCTTCTTAACTCCTGGCAATCACTAATCTGGGTTCCATTTCTACAACTTTATCATTTTTGATTAAGTTATATAAATGGGATTTTATAGTATGTAACCTTTTGTGATTGGTTATTTTCACACAGAATAATTCTCTAGAGATTCATCCAGATCGTTGTATAAATAAATAGCTCAATAATTTTTTATTGTTGAGTAGAATTCCATAATATGGATTACCACAATTTGCTTAACCATTCACCCACTAAAGAACCTCTGAGTAGTTTTCAGGTTTTGGCCATTACAAACAAAGTTGCTATAAACATTTATGTACAGTTTTTTGTGTGAATATGTTTTCATTTCTCTGAGTGCAAATGCTGTGTTGTGAGAAAGTGTCAAGTTTAGATTTTTAAGAAAGTGCCACACTATTTTTCTAAAGTGGTTATGCCATTTTATATTCCCGCAGGAATGCATGAGTGGTATAGCTTCTCCGTCACCTCAGAAGTGTTTGATGTTGTCACTAGTTTTTACTTTAGCCATTATTACAGGTGTATAGTGATGTCTCATTGTGGTTTCAATTTGCATTTCCTTAAATTGCTTATGATGTTGAATATCTTTTCTTATGCTGATTTGATGTATGTATATCCTCTTTGGTGAAATGTCTTTTTGTCTTTATTTTCCCCCCATTTTCTAATTAGATGGTTTGGTTTTTTTACTGTTGAGTTTGAGAGCTCTTTATATATTTCACATTCTAGTTCTTTGTCAGATAAATGATTTGCAAGTATTTACTCTAGTCTGTAACTTGTTTTTGTTGTTGTTGTTTTAATCTTCATAATAGCGTGTTTTGCTGAGCAAACATTTTTAATTTTTGATGAGGTCCATCCACCTTTTTCCTTTTCTTAGTCCTTTTTTTTAAAAAATTTCAAGTCTAAGAACTCTTTGCTTACCTTCATATACTGAAGATTTTCTCCTATGTTTTCTAAAAGTTTTGTAGTTTCATTCTTTATATTTAAGACTGCAATCCATTTTGAGTTAATTTTTGATTTTTGTATAGAGAGATTTTTGAAAACTTTTTTGTCTATGGATATCTAATTTCTCCAGCACTATTTCTTGAAAAGGCTATACTTCCCCACTGAACTGATTTTGTTCCTATGTCAAAAATCAGATGGGCATATTTGTATGAGTTTATTTGTAGGTTCTCTATTGAATTTCATTGCTGTATCTATTTGCCTACTAATACAAAATAGCCTTGATTACCATAGCTATATAATAAGTTTTAAAATCACTGTATTCTTGTTTTAAAAATAGTTTTAACTATTCTAGCTCTTTTGACTTTCTATATAAAGTCTAAAATAATCTTGTCTGTATCTATAAGAAATCTTGCTGAGATCTCGATAGAAGTTGCATTAACCTGTATATTAATTTGAGAAAAACTGACATCTTTTCACATTTGTTAATTTTATATTTTCTTCATTTAAAAAATTTTATATTTCGTTCATTTAAAAAATTTTAAAAATACTGCAGTTTTAATTTTGGTGTCCTTATGTTGACTGCTAGTATTTAAAAATACAATTGATTTTTGTATGTTTGCTCTGTGTTCTGTGACCTTGCATACCATATTTGTTAGTTCTCTGTGGAGGGGCTATGACAGCTGCATTTACTATGCAGAAGTGTTTTAACAGAGTTACATAATGGTGTCCTTATGTTGACTGCTAGTATTTAAAAATACAATTGATTTTTGTATGTTTGCTCTGTATTCTGTGACCTTGCATACCATATTTGTTAGTTCTCTGTGGAGGGGCTATGACAGCTGCATTTACTATGCAGAAGTGTTTTAACAGAGTTACATAAGTGACTTAAAATAAATTTATAATATACTAATACTTACTAAGTTGTAGTTATTAAGAGTACATGTTGTTATATAGGAGGAGAAAATGGCATCCAGGAAATCAAGTAGTGAATTAAAAATTTTAAAAATGAAAAAACCAAAAAGCTATACATGTTAGCCAGACTTTGAGGAGTAGAAATTAAATCTTTTGTGGAGAAGAACTAAGCAAAAGAGAAGAATAAATAGGTAGAACTGTAAAATGATTTCTTTTTTTTTTTAACCACAAGAGGGAGGTAACCAAGATCACAAAAGAAATATATCAAGACAGGCCAAACTTGCATACAATAACTGCACCAGCCAAACTCCACTCCTCTCAGGTTGCCACTTTAGGATAATAGATTATTAGAAAAATGCAAACAAAGTGAATATTAACTAAGGTTGATCCATGTAAGATCTCGTCAGCTCTGCCTCAGAAAAAGACTTTGATACAATTTGGCTGTGCTCCTAATAGAGAATACTGTCATGAAAGGGAAAAATATAATTTACTGTTGAGAAAGCAATTTGCATCAGCACTTTGTTCATTTCCCATTAACTGGTCAAGTTAGCATACATAATAAAACATTTAATTACATGCAACCTATTCTGATCTGTTTACTTATCAACATGGCTGCTGAGAAGAAAATACAAGAAATGAGGAGCCATGGACTAGAGAACGCAGATGTTTATGACCTGTTCATCTGCAGATAGGTAGAAACGCAGACTGCCAGCTGCTTGGATTATTTTCCCTCCTCTTAGCAAAAGGTTGGACTTAAGCAGAGTGGGGAGTAGAACAGCAATGTTCTTTATTCTATCCTAGTACTAATGTGGCATGCTTAGACATTGAAAAATAATAGTCTTCCTTTTAGGAATTTAAATTTTAAATTTTGATGAATTTTTCTTTTTTTTTTTTTCCTTTTTGTCTTTTTTTCGTGTCCAGCAACGGACCGCAACCCTCAGTGTCACGCCCGTACCGGACCGGGACTGGCAATGGGATCGCAACCCTCGGTGCTGCGCCTGCCCCTTGCTCAGCCAGTGAGCAGGAACCAGTCTGTATGTGGGATCCAAACCCTCGGTGGGAGCACCGCCACTCTCCCAAGTGGCGCACTGTAGCAGTGCGCCACCGGGCCGGCCCCTAAATTTTGATGAATTTTTCTAGATTAGCTATATTTTGGAAGCTGTTGTTGCTTTGTTTATTACTATCTGAATAGTTTGTACTACATAAAACTGAAATAAAACTGGAAAAAGGGAAATGAGACTTCTCTTTAGAGTTTCACCTTGAACGGGAAGCAAAGTATTACAACTTTACTGGTGTTGAGGTTGTAATGAATTTGCAACAAGTGAGGAATAAAGACTAAGCAATATAACTACATAAGGAAATAACAAAATAATTTCAACCCCCCCAAAAGAATTTTTTATAAGGTGCTATACATTATACCTAATAGATGAATTAGGAATATGAAATGAACTGTAAAAACAAATGAAAAAAAAATGATTTCCTAGAATATATTTCGTACTATAAAGCTTTAAATTAATTAGCATAAGTAATATGGTAGATAAACTAGAAAATACAAAATAGTAAAAAGAAACCTACTTTGAAACCTTGAAACTTGCCTTGCAACCTACCACTCAGGTAATGGTCATTAATATTTAGTTTATATATATTGAAATCCTTTTCTATGTATATGAAATATACGTGTTTGTGTATATATATGTTTACATACAATTATTAGAAAACCATATTTTTTCTATACATGGCTCTTTAATTTGTTTTTTCATGGAAAAATATTGCATAACCATTTCTTAATGTCGATAACAATGGTTCTAGAAGTTTTAAATTATTGCATTGTATTCTTTTGTATGAGTATAAACACAACTGAGTAATTTTTCCTAGTGCTTCTATTGTCAGATATCTATGAATTCACTCTAAATAATGTATAGTAACTATTTTTAATTAGCTTATTATTACTTTCATGTAATAATACTTTTAAATAGAAGGATATAGCTTTCATTCATTATTTTTTGTCAACAACATGTCCCTATTTCTAAAAAATATACATGTAATTTAAATTTAAGTGTTGACAATTGTCTTACAATGTTAAGTTTTCATGAAGATTGGATGCAACACTTTATTAAAATGGAACATGACCAAATTGAATATTTATTAAAAAATAAACATTTTTATAAACTCAAAGCCTACTTGTTATTATGTAATCTATAACTAATGGAGACAAGCAATTAGTTATTTGGCAAAATGTGTGAAGAAATTGCTTCATGCTTAACACAACCACTCTGTTACACTAACTAGTCTTATTTCAAAAAAAACCTTAAGTGCTAAGAATGTGTAAGACGACCTAGTGTCAAGCTAGAGCTAGAGTCAGAAGCCTCGAGCCCATTCACAAACCCTTCACACGCAGGTCTATGAGCTAGGTAACCAGCAGAAAGGTCCTTGGAGTCATAGGTTTGAGAACATGACCCCACGGGGCATACGCCCGAGGCAGTCAATGCCAGCCAAGTTGCGTCGCGCACATGCATACTAACTCCACCCACACACAACTTATTTACAAAGAATGTGCCTCACCACCCCCAACTGGACCTAAGGTGAGGGGGCCTGATTAAATAATTCTATTTTCCACACAGATGTTAATTATTAGAATTATTAGATGTTATTTAATTTATGTTACATTTCAATTGGTTTTCAATATGTTTAGTAAACAGATATTTAATATGTGAGCTTCTTAAAAAATTGGACTAGAATTAGCTTGAAAAAAATTTTTTAATAAAGTACAGAGGAAGGGTAGAGAGAGATAAGGAAAGGTTTCTGGAAGTTCAAACATTTGTGCTGGGTTGTGATATTTTATTTGAGGAAATAGACAAGGTAACAATTACTGACAGCTCATCATAATTCTTAAAACATTCCTCTAAGACCCATCAGGAAAATGATGCTCACAGCATAATATGAGCAAGATCAAGCCTTTTGTACATTGTGGAAGAAAACCTGAACCTTTCCCTTTCTCATTCTCAGAGGTCATAATTCAGCTTATGCCTCCTATATAGAGAAGTGATTTACCAAGGCATAAGAGAAAGAAAAATCATCCACACAATAACCTTTATCTATGTCTTTCTAAGCATATTTTCTTAGTTCTAGCATGAGTGGCATTAGAGATTCCTAGTTCTTTCTATGGAATCTACAGCTCTGTAATTATTATATTTTATAAAAATTTCACTTGCCAGACATGAAAACATGTCTTCAATTTGGACTAAAATGCATAAAGCAATGTGGTTATATATCGTCCTTACTCTCAGGTTCTCATTGAACAGGTTAAATTGCACCTTGCCTAATATAAAGTGAAACACATTAAAATAATCGGAAAAAGTCAAGTTTAGAATAAATGCATATTAGAAATAGAAGAGGCTATTCTGAAATCTTTCAAATTGCATGCTTTGGCATGTTAACATGACTCACAAGTTGAATCAGAATATCTGAATCAGAATATAAGTAATTATTTGCATTGCTTTTCCCAGAGACCGAAGGCATTAGATTTGAGTTAAATAACATGCAATTGATCATTTAATGTTATTAGCGCATTCAAGTGCTCAGAAAGTTGTATCAAATAAATATCGTATAATTTAAATTCAGAAGCCATTACTTTATATCATTTACATGCATTCAGGTATTTCTTAATTGTTTTATTCATCCATTTATAAATTATAAAGTTTTATATATAATTACATACTTATAATATCATATATAAAGCTATATCTAGTATACAATACATATATGAATACAGATTATTTTGAAGACATCTTTTTATACTTACATTTGATGCTCAAGAAAATAGATGTTGCTAATAAGCCCACGCAGAAAACACATGAAATCACAATCACAAGACACCATGTTCCTAAATGTGGAATACGGAAAATGAAATTGAGTTAGAGAAAATAGATGAAAAGGCTGGGGTGGAGATAAGATAAGACTGAGTAAAAAAAGAAATTAACGTTGGGCATTGAAAATTCTCCTGGAGAGTTGTTGACACCTGGAACTTGTAACTGTGTATCACAGGAAAAAGAGAACCAATGTTAAAAATCTTTGAAATGCAAATTATAAACTGGAATACTTGTACATGTGATTTGGAAAAGGCAAAATTAAACAGATTTAGTAGTTTACTTCTCTTATGTTTATACATAATGTCATGACCTCACTAATTAAGTGTTTTTCGCAACAGTCTTTTAGGGATTATCACAAGCCAGGTAGCAAGCTTTAATTTTTGAGAGCAAGAATGCCATCTCACATCTCCCCATCTCTTTTCAGTGTCATTTGAACATGATTGATTCAAAGATATTTCCTTTTAAATGGACAATCTTGGATTTTTATACAAAATTTTCCAGCTGTTTTTTTAACTATTCGGGAGGGAAAAATGAAGAATGTGTGAATTGTTACATTCTTAACACTAACCAGGAAAAAATAGATAAAATTTATCTTTGGATATTGTGGTAGGATGAATAACGCCCCTGCTGAAGATGCCTATGTGCTAATCCCTGGAACCTGTAAATGTTACCTTATGTGGGTGGCAAAAAAGACTTTGAAGATGTCATTAAATTAAGAATTTGGAGATGGAAGTTCAGCCTGGATTATCTGGGTCCTGGTAAGTGTGAGTCAGGAGATTAGAGGGACAGAGTGTGATGTGGCGGTAGAAACAGAGAAACATTTGAAGATGTTATGCTGTTGGCTTTGAAGATGGAGGAAGGTATCAGGAGCCAAGGAAAGCAATAAATGCAGCTCTAGAAACTAGAAAAGACAAGAGAATGGATTACACCCCCCTGCCCACCCCAGAACCTTGCCAACACCTTGATTTTGTATTAGTTTCAACTTCCAACATCTATAACTTTAAGATGATAAATTTGTGTTGTATTAATTCCCTGTGTTTGTGGTGATTTGTTACACTAACAAAAAGAAACTGATAAAGACATTTAATAATAAAGAACTGATCAGTATAGTAGGAAGCTCCAGGCTGATGAGAATTTGCTAGTTTTTCAACCGTTCTTTTCTCTTTATTTCTTAATATTTATCAGATAATTTTCAGGGTGTTTCATGCAGGAACTAAAATGATTAAAATTGTATGATTTCTTTCACTTATATTCCAAATCCAGGAATTCTTTGTCTTTACTGGACAGGGAGACCGAGATAGAGCTGGAGAAGAGAGAGAGAGAGAGAGAGAGAGAGAGAGAGAGAGAGAGAGAGAGAGAGAGAGAGAGAGAGAGACCAAGCATTTGTCAAGGTTTTTGCTCTTTTCCTTTTTCATCTTTACTTACTCCTCTCCACTTCATTTCATATAGCATACCATGCACATTATAATATTCTTGAGTAGGTTATCTCAGATTAGAAAAAATATCTTGAGCTCATTGTACAACAGAAAACAAAACGTAAACTCTAAAGTCTTACAATAAATAATTAGAACTCATTACCTGAACATTTGGTGGAAGATGGACGTTTCTGGCAAGGGTTTGGTGTTGGATTATCCCACTGAAGAGAGGTGTATATTTCTTCCTCATGCATGTTTGAGAGGCTTTGATAGGTAAAGCAGTCCACACGGGAGGCCGACACAAATAACACCTCCAGGGGTTAGTAGCAGGTTGGCTATAAAACTGAAATTGGCTACTTTTTTACAGTAGTGAGAAAACATGTTTGGGTTTAAGGAGTAGAATAGATGCATCTTCATCCAGAAAGTGGAAGTTTATGGAGTTTAAGGCAAAACACAACTTGGTAAAGGAGGAAATGAGAAAGATCTGAACTCAAAATGACCAGTAATAGAACAATATTGCTCCGGTTTCCAAAATGTAGCAGACGTTAAAGGTGATAGCACTGATTTCCAGTTAGGAAGAAAAAAATGTAAGTGCAAAGAGTGCACTTTTATTTGATATAGGACAAGAAGCATGAGGATAAACTAGATAATGACGATGTGAAGATAGCTCACATTGGGCAAACGAGGCTGTAAAGAGTTGCAGAGCATGTGTATCCTTAAAGAAGAAGGCTAGAAAGATATATACCATAAAGCTTTATATACTATATATAAAGCTTATATATGCTATATCTTTATATACTATATCTTCATATACTATATATTTTATATACTACAAAGATAGAAAGATATATAACATATATTGTATATTACAGTACTGAGAGTGGATGTGAAAAGTAAACCTCAAAGTATCAGTTAACACAACATAAGTTTATATCATCTTATCATAACATCTTAGTGCTGGTAATCCTTGTTAGTGTACAGCTTTCTTCCAAATGGGACCTGGGATTCTGCCTTCTAGAGAGACACTGGAGTCCTCTACTTCTGTCCACTGGAAATGAAAAGAGGTGATGAATTCGCATCTGAAGCCATAACCTAGAAGGAACATGTATCCACATCCATATCCACCAATGGCATGCCCACAGTTGGATATACAAGTTGAGCTTGAAAAATGTAATTTTTGCCTGGGCAGGAAGCTTTTGCTGACAGCTTCACTCAGGAAGAGAAGCATGAATTATTTAGTGGACAAATCATCATTTCTGCTGCATCCTGTGACTACAGCATTGGTATTGAGAAATTTGATACTTTAATCACCATTCATCTTTTGCCCACTTTCCCTCATGGTGAAAGGTCATGTCTCAAAACCTTATCATTCTGCATGCTCCACCAGTCTGCAAAATTGCAATGTTCTCTTCTATTTCAGTGTCTCACTGGATCAATCATTACTCTCTGCAAGAGTTAGTCTCCCAGAGGGAAACAAATGGCATCCTGGAGGGGTAATCTAAGGCGTTTAATAAAAAGACTGTTTCTAAAGTTTTGGGAAGTGCTGAGAAAACCAAAAGGGTGTAGTGAAATATACACTGGGAAGATGTCGTTACTCCTATGCCTAAAGGATTAAGTGGAGGGTGTTTACTGGAATTTGGTGACCTGCTGTACAGGGGCCATGGAATAAGTATAGAACATGCAGACTTTGCCAAACCAAGGCACTGCAGGCAAAGAACCCTATCTCTGACCACCGCCAGCGCCTTTGGTTGGTTGAATTAACTGGAAGCTAGAGGCCAAATTTGCCCAGATAATGTGTTCATTTGAGTTTGGTACAAGGTGGGGCTGAGGGGGTCTTCGGGAGCACATGGAGGATATTCAGCATGTTCTCCAATATTTCATATGATGTTCATGTCATCTGAAATTCTGACCTGAAAAATAATGCCACTTAACCCCACATAGCCTTTAAAATTAAGTAGTTTTTCCCTTGAAGAGAAAAAGAGGAAGAAACCATTGGGCATATCAAATTTGCATTGACACTAATGTCAAGAACACTGGACTAATGATCATAAGTTGCCAATAGTTTCCAATTGCTCTCAAATTTTATCATCATTAACAATCAGGCTCAGAAAGATCTGGTTTTCCCAAGGATAGTGTACTCTGTGATAAATTTCTTTGGGGAAGCCATTGGCTTCTCTCAGCAAAAGATTAACATATCATTTATATTACTTTTGATGTTTTTGATCCTACTACCTGTTATTTATTGTTCATTACATTCCAAGTAATATTTTAAAGGGTTTTCACATGAATTATTTTTATTCTCACTACAGCTCTATGAAGTAGGTACTACTATTACGGCAGAGTAAGTTAATTGGAAGTTGAGGCACAGAAGAGTCGAATTTTTTTGAAGTTCACTTCGATAGTAAGCAAAGATTTAGTATTTAAAACTAAATGGTCTGCTCACAAAACATGTAATATTAACATCTGTGCTATTCTGATTTTATGCATAATATGCATTAGATGTTAAGTAGCAGGGAAAAAAATCTTTACAGGCACAGCCTTATTGGTTTACATTTTTAATTGTGCTTTAGCCATGTACTAAGATATTATTCTTCTAAATTCGTGTGTGCCATTCTGGTGTATAAATATGTGCTTTTCCACTATGGGGAGATGAAACACTAAAGTCCAGAGATATGGCTGATTTTTGGACAGTTTTCTGAATTATTAGTTCTTATTTGGTTTCTCTAAATAAACAATTAAAAATAAGAAAATAATGATACCATTGCTTAAAAGCCAAGATCTCTAGACATTTGAAGTAACAAGCAGAATCTGAGGTATTTCTGTTATTTTTTATTCAGCCCTCCAAATCTGCTTTTCTATTGATAGTCTAAAACAGGATAAAGATTCAAGTGTCTTTGGGTATTTATGTGTAAAGCTGTGAAAGTAACACACATTTATTGAGTATTTATTACATGCTTGGTACTCTGATTAATGCTTTACATAATTATATTAAATAATGCTAACAATTACTTTATGACTAAGGTAATATTAAACCCACTTCATAGATGAGAAAACTGAGTTTTAAAGAGACTAAATTGCTTAGCCAAAGCCACATAGAGAGTAAGTTCTAAGGTAATGTTTCTCAAAATGTATTAAAGACCACTTGTATCAGAGTCATGTGTGTGTGTGGGGGGGGGGGTGTTGTTAAAACACAGGTGTGTCTCCTCAGCCTTCCGACTGAGTACCATCAGTATTTGTGTATGAACATCCTCAGGCCTTAACAAACACCTCAGTTGAGATGTTTCAGGGTCAAGCTCATTAATTTCATTCCCACCGGTTAAAGAGGGAAGGCTGTGGGGCAGAAATGCAATTTCTGCCTGTTGTCCTGTTAAAGGGTGCCTCTCCACATATTCTATAAATACCTCCTGAGTCACTCAGCAAAAACCAAGCACAGACCTGATAGGAAAACAACCAGATAAAGCACTTTTACTCATTCTTCTGTCTTCTAGACTCTAGACCTTGTTAAGAAGCATGCGCTCCATGAGGTTTCTTGCAAACTTTATTTCTCTTCTATGCACAGAAAATTACTGCTGTTGAGTCCGACTAGAGGTGCACTTGAAATAGTAGTTACATTTGTGTAGTGTTTTCCTGATCGAAGTATTTTCTAATGAACTATCTCATATGAGGCGAAGCAGATATTTTTCTGTTTCCTGTGAGCCAGGAACTGTGCTTGGTGCTGGTCATAAAACAGTGAGTGAATAGGAAAGCCAGGGTGTCTGCTTTCATGGAGTTTCTGGTTTGGTTACCACTCCAAAGCTTTATTTTACGTTGTAGAATGTGAGGTATATAAGATGGGTGCTATCATCCTGTTTTAAATATGAGAAAATGACAGTTAAAGAAGCTACACGAATGGTTCACGGTTGTACTTTAGTTTAGGGACCAACCATCTAAATTATTCTACCAATTACAAGTTTAGCATTCTTTCCACTATCTTATACCACCTTTCAAACTTAGATTTTTTGCACAACTTAAGTCAATTAAGCTCTAACCTTTCTTGTCCTGATTTTAATTTTATATGCATATATCTAAAAAGGCAGTGAATCATACTATATTTAGATAATTAGGAATGAAGGATAAATAGAAAGAAAATTAATGGAAAATAGAACAATTGGCAAGCAAATAATCACTTCGTGTGTTGGCTTCTGGATGTACAAAGAAGGAACTAAGTAAGTGGTGTTGATAGTACATATAATATAAAAAATGATGCCAAGGGGAAGAAAGGGTGAAATAAGCAATTTTGTGGTTAGGGATTCCTCCACGCACAACTTTTATTGCACAGCCGAACAGTTCTCTGTGATGTCCTGTGGAAGAAAGGGTGAAATAAGCAATTTTGTGGTTAGGGATTCCTCCACGCACAACTTTTATTGTACAGCCGAACAGTTTTCTGTGACGTCCTGCCCCTCTCTTCGCATTATAGTAGTTGGTCCACCTTTACCATGCCAGCCTTCCTCTCGCATATTAAATAATGTCTGTTCTGACAGAAGGTAGGGTGGATTTTCCCATCATGAAAATAAGCACAATTCATATTTTCTCTTCCATCTCCAGAAAGCTGAAATCTGTGAATAGAAAAAGTAGAAAGAATTCTTTTGAAAAATGAAATAAGGAATCAACAATAAGAGTCTGTGTGTAGGACTTTGTTGCACAACGTGGAGACTATGGGAAAAGAGTAAAAATTCTTATTATTGAGAAACTTTTGATCTGCTTAGGAGTACAAGGTATGCACATTGGAAAAGCCTAGTGACAATTTAATGTACCATAAGATTAAGGAACATTTGAAAAGCCAAATAGCAATTTAACATAGCAAAAGATTAAGGAGCAATTCAACACTAGGTACAGGAGGCGTCCAGAGGAAGAGAAGGACATGGCTCTGAAATGATGGGAAAGGCTTTACCTATAAGATCAGACTTTAGTGATATTGGAGGAAAAATAGAATTTAGATAAACAGAGAGGAGATGGGAGCGCCCTACAGAGCAAGCAGCTGCACAAGATGGGGATAAGCTCAAGGAAAAGTAAGTTGATTAAATAATTTTGAACTGAGGATTTATGCTGTAGGGAAATAGACCTAAGATAACATTCGATATTATAATTTCCTGCTAACTTGTCTATATTCCCTGACAGACATAGGGAATTAACTTGCAAAATATCTATGCAACACCAACTATGTGCCAAATTCATTCCGTTACATTACACTGGGTGATGAAATAGACCTAAGATAACATTCGATATTATAATTTCCTGCTAACTTGTCTATATTCCCTGACAGACATAGGGAATTAACTTGCAAAATATCTATGCAACACCAACTATGTGCCAAATTCATTCCGTTACATTACACTGGGTGATATTAGTAAGAGGCCTGCAAATAAATAGGCAAGAAAACTTCAGAGAGTGGTAAGAGTTATGAAGAAATAAAACAGCGTGATATGATAGACTGCAGAGATGTGGGTTAAAGGGAGGCTAATTTAGGTTGGGTAATTAGAGTTGGCCTCACAGAAGTGATGTTTAAACAGAGACTTGAGTCACAGAAGGAGCCAGTCATGGAGCTAGGAGAAGAAAACATCAAGTACAAGAGCCTTAAGGCAACAAAACAAGTGTGATTTGTTGAAATAATGAAGAGAGTACTGGTTTGCCTGCAATAATGAGAATGAAGGAGCAAGTGGTAGGAGATAAAGCCCAAGGTCTGTAAAGAGGCTTGCTTGTAGTTGTAGTATTCTGGGCTCCTACACATATTAAATACTTAATAAGTATTTGTTAAATAGCTTAATAATTTAAGTGATTATAAGATAGCATACGTTTGGGTTGTTAGTTTAAATTTCAGTTAGTGAGAGACTGCAGTTTTGATATACAGAAGAACAAAAGATGTTGAGACTGGATATTGCAAAGCTGTATTAAGCAACTTGACTTTTAATGCAATTGACCCCTTTGCCTGGATTGTCTATAGAAGGATGGAGCCTCATTACATGAACATTAGAATTGCCTTGTGGGGCCGGCCCGGTGGCGCACTTGGTAGAGTGCAGCGCTTGAGAGCACAGCGGCACTCCCGCCGAGGGTTTGGATCCCATATAGAGACCGGTCCGCTCACTGGTTGAGTGTGGTGCGGGTGCGACACCGAGGGTTGTGATCCCGTTGCCGTTCACGAAAAAAGACAAAAAGGAGAAAAAAAAAAAAGAATTGCCTTGTGGACTACAATGTACCTGATTTTTAGAGACCCTAGGGTAGAAGACTAGGCAAAATGACACTTTTCAGTGTCAAAAGAGTCCGTAAGGTAATAACTTTCAACCGTAAATAATAAAGATGATAAATTTGCTCTAAAAATATGAGGAGAGAATGAGATCAAGTTAAATACATACACAAGTACACACACACACACGCACACACACACACAATGTTCCAATGGTAATGTTGAACATAGAAATAAATGGGGAAAATATCAAGAATAAAGGTCTCTAGCTTTAGCAAAAGAATGGGGGGGAGGGGAAGGTAGAATAGTCTTATTACAGTGTTCTCTTACTAGCGGTAGGGCGGCAAGTGACTCAGTTGCTGCTAATATAACCCTAGTAGGAACAGAGATACCTCTAGACTTTTAAGTAACTTGTATTCAAGAGGAAAGGGAATCTCAGGAATAAAAAATTCTAGTAGTGCCTTCTGTTCTGAATGTCCAGTGACTTACATATTTTTGGAGAGAACTGAACCATCTTCCCACATCCAAACATCATTAGAATTCTGGCGGGATAATCCAATCCAACGAATAAAACCAGTCCTGGTTTTGATGTATTCCTATGGCAAACATAAATAAATATAATAGTCAGAATGCCTCCACAGCTCCTGATAATGATTTAAAGACATGGCTTTGTGATAAGTTCTTGGATTTTTTTTAAAAAGTTGGATTATGTGTCTAGATTAATATTAATGTATTATATTTGATATTTAGAATTGTACCACGTTGTCTTATTTTAGAATTAAAAAGAATGTGCAGGACAGAGGAAAACTTGCACACAACATAGCTGATAGTCTAATCTTCCTATGTATTTATAAGATACGCTTATATCATCCGTCAGTTGAAGATGAGTCCGAAATAGACTACCAAATGTGATCCAAATGGGATAAAATGTAAGCTAGAGAAGGAAAACAAAAAGAAATACATTGTTAATTAGCTTTTTATTCCTTGAAATTAAGCTCTTCCTGCTTTGGCTTTATCCATTAGCTTGCCTATAGAATTTTACGTACAGAAGTATTAATTTGTTTTAGTTGATTGAGTAAAGAAATGTGTAATGTCTTTCTCAAAAGGGTTTATAGATAACATACATCTACCATTGCTAATTTACTCTTTTCTGCTCAGCAATTACCACTGTCTCCTCTACAATACTTGTCTTGTTCATTGCCTGTTGCTCCCACTAGAACATGAGCTCCTGGAAGTTCGGGACTTTCATCTGTCTCACTAACTGCATAGTTTCAGGTCCTAGAATAGTTCCAGCTCAGATGTGTTGAATTAATGGATGAATCAGTCAATCAGTCAATGGGTAACAAAATTAAAAGGAGGTCAAATGCTCATATACTCTCATACCTCCCAGAGTAACAAATAAGAGTGCATGCATACTGGGCAAATAAAAATGACCTGAGCTTCTTGACAGACATCTTAGACTCAGAATGACATTTCATAGGAGATACTGTGTGAAAGTCACTTTCAACTGCTTATTTCTTAAAGCCTGCGCCACCTGTCATCTTTCTGTTAATTCCTGATCTTTTCTTTAGAATATATCCACTTTATATACTCTACTACAGGATTGACAGGTATATTCTACTTGGAATTCTGTCTGAAATTCAACTATTTCTTATTTCTCAAAAGTTACATTACTTTTAGTTATAAATCTTTAACTTGGCATCAGATTAGAGTAATAAGGTTCAGGACATGATTATATCTAATTAATCTCTTCGTAATGGAGTTGAGATTTTAGGGCATTCTCATATATTGCCTGAGTAGAAAGAAAAGTTAATTTATTAGCTGAATATTTTCTCTATGAGTCTGAGCTCACAAAAAGAGTATGTAGATGGTGCAGCAAGTTAAAATAGCAGAGGACACAAATGATCGTGAACATGGCTGGGCTGCCCTGTCTGACCCCCTGTGTACCTTACTTCTGGGAAGGTACAAATCAGTTTTACTGATCACCTCTATTGATTCTGTAGAATATGACTGAATTGAATATCTGAGTTCTGTAATTTTTACTGAACTGTAAATTTCTTAGATTAGCACAAACTGGAAGACATAAAAATGTTAAAGAAGGGGAAAGTCAAGTGTTACATTTGAGATTTTTCTCTTTATGCCTCCAAAATATTTGACATAGGAATCCCCTTACCAGAATGTTCTGGTTGGCAATCTTCAGTAGAGTAGCATTCATGTCAGTGCAGAACTGCCTGCTCTCTTTCCATGTCAAGTTGTGCCTGAAGAATCCATAGCAGCTGTCTCCATAATATCTCCAGTTTGTGTCACAGGGGCTGCATTTATGGTCTTAAGGAAAAACCAAGCACAGGAATGCTTTCATTCTAAATCATGCTTACATTTACCCACATCCAGTGTTTCCTGCAGATCTCAAGGCTCCCTTCAGTTCCCATCACAGAAATACTCCTGGGGTTGGGAAGATGAGGAGGTTACCAAACCAAACTTACAGAAACCGCCCTTTTGCCCTGATTGTTGTACTAAATTTTGGCAGAAGTGCTTTGCTAGTTGTTGCAGAGTTCCTGAGAGATTTTCATTTTCAGCTTGCAGGTAATTTTGCTGCATGACAGCTAGAAGTAAAAATTAGATAACAATTCATAATGAGGATCATAAAGTTGATGCAAAAATCTTTCAACAAACCTTCATTTCAGTAGAATTACCAATATACGAAAAGTTTACTAGATACACATGAGTGAATGAGTGCTGAAAAAGGATAACAGTGAGGGGAAATATAAAGAAAAAATTGAGAAATATGCAAAACTGACACCCGAGGGTTGTCCAAAAGAATAAGTGAACTATTTGAAGGAGACAAGCACAAAAAAGAGAATCCCAAGATCAAATAATATGCCCCAAGTAGTTGTTTTGACATTTCCTTGAACACAGGTTTCTAAAGAGTTTTTGAAGAGAAATGACCTCTGTTATTTTCTGTTCTTCATGTAACAGCAAAATATTCATTCATTTACAAATGCATATTATTCTCTTATCGTTATGCTTGAAGTACTGCAATAATCAAGTAAAAAAAGATATTAAATGAAATATTATAAATTGTCTTATGAAAAATAAACAAATTTGCAACAGAGCAACACCTATACAGACTACAGTGTGACATTGGAGAGCTATTAGGAAGAAAAAACAAATATTTCAGTAAACGAGCTGGAAGGAGCACATCTTAGGTAGAGGAAACTTAATTAGCAAAATTTCAGACAGGGAGACATAGGATTTATTTATAAAATTAAGAAAATTCCAGGTTGGTTGAATCTTAAGATATGCAATGTAGAGAAAGGAAAAACGTCTTAAAATATAGTTTAGATCCATACTGAAGAGAATCTTAAAGGCCACTTCTTGTAAATAATTTTTAATTTATAAAGAAATGTTAAGTGATTTTATTTGAAAGGGAAAGGTTAGAGATCTCATTTACTGAGAATATCTTAGCAGCTATGTACAGGACAATTGTGGTAGTGACAAATAGACAATAACAATTTAAAAGCTTAGCAGGATATATCAGGACCCTTACGTGTTGCCTTCTTCAGATCAAATCTTGGGCAAAGAGTCAATACTTACACATGATGCCCAGAGCCACCAGCCCAACAACCATTCCCATGCACAAGATCAGCAGAATCAAAGCCAGTACACGCCACCAAGAGGAGGATGCGGGGTCAACTGTAGGCACACAATGAAGATGTCAAGGAGCAGGCAGAGCAAAGGGGCAGTGTCAGCCCTGCCCTGCCCTCTCAGGATTTTCTAAGTAATATAAACAGCTTCCCTGGCAGATGCCACTCGTATTCCCCCGGTAATCACTGACAATTAGCACAACTCACTTCCATGCCACACACCCATCCCCATCCCCAGTGGACTTTCCTTCTCCAAGCCAAAATATAACCAGCTGCCAAGGCCTTGTGTGTTTTTGTTTTGTGACCACCCCCATAAATAATTGGTTTAACAAGCACAACTAGAGAATCACATCCATTTGCTGACATTTAGAAACTGGAGATTCCAAACATCCTCTTTCCCTTACTCCCACAGCATAAACTCTAGGAGCCTTCATGTGATGCACCCCGCCCATATCTTTGCTGATTTATTCAAAATAAGTCTGTTTGAGCCTATGTAGACACTACTCAAATGCTGTAGCAAAAAAGCGTCATTCAGGAAAAAAGTAAAATACAACTATACATGCTATCACTACTAGAAGAAGAGAAAATAGAGTTGATCTGTTTCACTACTTAATTTCCAAATTCTGACTCCAGGCATTCTTACCTGAGGTGAGCGCTGGTTTCCGTGTTTTAACGTTTAAGGCAACATATCCATCTTCATCCTGCATGGCTTTTCTTGGACTGCAAGTGAGCTCAGGGTTCAGCGGCTTTGCAAAAGAGCACTCTTGACCATCTCAATATCTGCCAGTATGTATGTGATCCTCCTGGCTCCTCTGGGATGGTGGAACTGTGTGAGCTGGGACACATGGTGTCTTTTCATTGTTTTTTTTTTTTTTTTTTTTTTTTTTTTTTTTTTTTTACTTTTTGTTTTCCAGGAAGCCCTTTTATAGTTGTTCGGAGATAGACCTTGAACATAAAAACACAAAAATAATAATAACTTGTGGTAAAGGAGTAGATATAGCATTTGCTTCCTGTTTCCTTATCTTCAACTCTGAATAAAGGCCTATTCCTTCATGTGTATCCTTTCAAAGAACAAAAGTTCACCTTCATCTTAACCTTAGCAGAGTCTAAATCATTGTTTAAATAAAGTCATTTCTGATGAAAACTAATGAATAAAACACCAACCGATGAGTAGGCTATCTCACTGTGAGGAACATGTTTAATATAATTTGATTTGGTGTAGGGGGCTAAATTAAATGTTTCATGGTGTTGTGTTTGAAAAGACCATTCCTAATGATGTCTTAGAATTCATCCAAATTCTTGCATATTTTACAAATCAATTTTTTTTTTAATTTGAGGACTCCACATGAAGCAGGCCTTCTATTATTTAGGTTTAGGCACTGAAGGAAAACAATCAACAAAATAATAAAATAATAAAAACAAAATAATAAAACAAAATAATTCAGAGTTGGTGACTTGACATATTGCACTTCAGTAATGTTTGTACTTTAAAGTGAATATTCTGGCAAGGAGAAATCTTGATTTAATGTAGCAATTTAATTCCAAATATAGTGGTGCTTAGATGAGGAACTATTTGAGAAAGGATGGTTTCCTAGTGCCCTTTATACCACAACATAATATGTATTCCACATGTTTAACTTTATGAAATGGGCTTTTAAATTCCTATTTTAACAGACATTGAAAGTAGTCATAAGAACAGCCACACAAAGCTAGCTGATGTATTTATTATTGGAATATTGGTAAGGATGTTGTCTATTTTGTCGTTAGAGTAAGTCTTTTATAGTTTTATAGAAGATGGGTTTTTTTAACCTTCATGACCAGTAAAGCTTCCCGTATTCTGAGTTACTAGTAGTGATATATCTTATAATCTTATTTCTATTTTTTTCTTCAGGTAGTGGAAAGTTAGACTTTACTTTTCTATATAGTAATTACGTAGATCTCATGGCAGATATTTTGTTTACTAAATTTCCCTTTGGCTTATCTTTACATATTTTTTCCCTCCCTGCTGTCTCCTTCACTCTGAATTCTTTGTCAATTCACGTAAAATAATCTTATATTTTAAAATTTCTTTCCATACACACCTCGAATTATCTTGAGGATGAGGTAAAGAATAAACAAAACAACATAAAAGGCATTTCGTGATTGTGGAAGCTCAAACTAAGCATGATTATTTTCACCAAAAATCAATCTTTAATCAAAATTTCACTCACTCCAAATAAATATCAAATTTAAGAAAAGTACTAGAAAGCAAATTTGTAAAAATACCAACCCCATTTTGTCACTGAGTTTCTCATCCCAGGCGAAATATTCAGGGATTCTCAGTCACATGTGGGGCAGAGTGAGACCGTCCTCGGCCCACTCACCTGCCCCTGCTTCTGCTTGTGCGGCTCCTGCATTAGCCGCAGCGGACGCTTCCTTCTTCCTCCACTAATCCTCAGGCCCTGCTGGAAGGCGGCTGTCACACAACCTCCCTCTCTTCCTTTGCCCACATCTGCTCACGCACTAGGTTCTGAGGATTTTCTTACACCAGATCCCCTCTCTTTTATGTTTTCTTGGTCACTGCCTTACTTTAGTGTTTTTTTCCTAAAATACACAGAAATACTGAAAAATTATTATATAAATAACTGTAACTAAGTAATAGAGAAAAATGAAAACGGGTGTGGAGTTTACAGTTCAAATGACACTCTCTGTTCTCCCAGGAACCAAATAGGTACTTCTGAAAATTTAATCTGTTAAATAGAATAGAATATGCAGAGGAAAGATCTGAGAATGTATAGAAACGTTTTAAATTGTTGTAAACTTTTCTTATTCTATTAACATCAACTTAGGATGGTATTAAACATAACGAATGATTAGCTTGCTTTGTTGAGGTTTCCACATTCTCTAGGTCTTGGGCAATTAATTTAATTGTAAAACATATTCTACTTATTTCTGTAAACCCCAGAAATATACCAGGGTTACTTCTTGACCCATTAATGCTTAAAATTGTATTTAACACCAGGAGGAGGTAAAACTGAAATGGGTGACACTAAGCCTCAGATGATATTCCTTTCCTGTGTATTTTTGGATCTTTGATAACTCCACAAGCTAAGGGCCTTATGTCTTGATCTGTGATCCACAAAACACATATCTGTCTGTATTTGTATCCCTGACACTGACTTCGCAGTATTGACTACAAAGAATGAATGACTACAAGAATCTCAAAGTCAAAGAGTCATATGAAAGCAGTTAGTCTTAATTTTGCTCTGTTTCCATATATCCTGTACACATAAGCTAAGTTACTCAGCAAAAATTAAGCAGAGAAGTGTGGGAAAAAGAGATAGACATAAAAAATGTTTCTTTTTCCTTTTCCAAAATCCAGAGGCTTTGCTAGATATTTTTTAATCACTATATACAGCCCATTGTTAATATATTTTATTTCTGCTTAAATGTCTTACCAAATAAATATTGAATATTGATTTATTTAAATTGCTGCCATTTACCTCCAAAAGAATATTTCCCATGGCTCTAAAATAGTGACTGACCATAGAGTTACAATCTAACAAATATTTGTTGAATGAATAAATGAATACAGGAAGGTATTTCAAAAAGTTCACAAGAAAGATTCATATTTCCTTTAAATACTACTTTTCCACAAACCTTTTGTAGTATCCTCATATATACAAAAATCATCCTGATTTTATATATAAGGGAAGAGAAATTTAAGGAATTTTGGGGACTTTTCTACGATTACACATGTAAAAAGCAGTTAACATCTACCCAGTTTCCAAATTCTTTGCAATACATTATGATGCCTTTTAAATTCAGGTAGTATTCAGATTCCATTATCTATGTGTATAGCTGAAGACTGGGTTAAAGACACCAAGATCACGATGGCAAATAAAAATGCAATAAGAAAGGAAATTAGTGGAATGCATACCTTGTGGATAAGTCTGCTCCATATACAATGATGGTTAGCGGATGTGTAAAAGAGAAAGACCACAAAAAGAAGGTGACTACTGTGGGTGTTATAATAATGTCTCTAAATTGAAAAAAAAAAAAAAAAGAAAGAAAAAAAGAAATAAGCATGTTACAGTTGGTGATAGCTTTTTACTGCTGCTTTCTACTAAACTAAAGTCTTAGAGGATTTTTGCAGCAGCTCTATACTACAGCTTTAGGGGATTTTCAGTACTTTGTTTTTTGGTAGCAGGCATGATACAGGGATTGAACCCTGGACCTTGGCATTTCCAGTCCTGCGCTCTAACCAGCTGAGCTAACCAGCCAGCTCTGCCTCAGCTGCTTTTTATCAGTGATATTTTGTTCCCTCTGTCAGCCCTCTGCATTAAAATTCTTGGTTTACCTTTGACTTATCAGCCTTCCACACTCATGTTAAATTCTGTTCATCTTTGGAAAGGGTGGGATTTCCCGTCATAAAAAAAAAAAATTCAATATTTTCTCTTTCATTTTCAGAAAACTTAAACATGTAGAGTAAAAAGTGAAGTGAGCTTTATTAAAAGTTAATGAACTAAACAATCAAACAACAATGATGACACAGCATTTTGTTACACACAATAGAGAAAATGAAGGAAAAAATGTGTCAGAACCAACCATACCACTAAGTATATGAGGCATGTGCATTCAAGAGACATGTAAGTAACAAGTTAAGTAATAATCAATGGAATATATAAGATTTGAATTAATATTTGAAGGACTGTGTAAGAGGAAAAAGGAGAGGGGAATTTTTACTGGGCAGGGCAAACAAACATCTGAATAAAGGTATAAAAGTCTAAATAAGTAGGGTGTGGTTGAGGGAAGGTAAATTGATCAAGTGTATTTCAACTAGGAATTCATGTTACAGCATATTGGAATATAACGTGTACTTTCCTATTAAAGGCAGTATAAAACTTAAAGGCAGGAATAATTAATTAATCAACTATTTGAACAAATATTTATTGATCACAGTGATTCTGAATGAAACATACAAGGTTGGGCTCTTCCTGACTCTATGTTGCAGTGGAGGGTGGTGGACACAGAGAGTAAAGGAGCATAGAAAGCAAACAGCAAGATCATTTCACATCGTGAAAAGTGCTATGGAGGAAAGAGAACGTGATGTGATAGAGTCTGGTCAGGTTCAGGACAGACCCTGGTTGTGCTCACGTGGATTGGTTTGTCTAAGCTTTACTTAAAGGTTGGGACATCCTACAGGTTTCTTCCATCTTTAAGATCATCTAGAATAATCCAAATGTCTAATTATTACTGCTATTATATGCATTTATTAATTACCTTTGTGGTAGATAATACACCCATTTTACAAATAAATAAATAAATAAAGCACAGAGGTTAAATAACTTGCCAGAAGTCACAGAGCAAGTAAGTGCTAATCAAGGATTTGAACCAATCAGTTTATCTTCATGGCCCTTTATTTTGATCAGGATATTTTATTATCCTGATTGGGTGAACACACATTTCAAAATGCATGCTGTTCTATATTCATCTTCTGACTCCCTGTGGTCATTTTTTTCTCACTGCTTTTAATTCATCTTTGTTTTCTTTGGGTCTTTGACACCTCTGGATTTAATCTTTACTTTTACCTATTCCTTTTTTTGTAAATAATTCTGAATTAATTCTCATTCGGGCCATTTTCTGGGTGCTATCCAATCTAGGGCCCTCTTTAAAAGTGTTCTCTGAAATAAGC